ATTTGCGAATTAGCGGCCAGTCCCTTTTTGCTACATTCACTATAATTATTTGCAGAGACAACAGTGAATGATATTGGCAAATTTACTGCTTTTTCGTTGGCAAGACAATTTTATTGGTGTATTAAATTATAGCATTCAGTAACTTACGAGTGAAATTATAGCAACCTTAGTTTTTAGGTACTTTAGTGATTATCTAGGTGACCTTACCTTCCCATAAATATGTCCTAACAATTAATTTGACAAATTGAGCTGGTGCCATAAATCCCTTTTTTGTATGCTGAAAATTTTTAGCAGTACAAAAGAAGGGCTTTTCCTAAAATTCGTCCTTTTAGACAGTGTTAGATGAGGCTACTCAAGGAGCTCACGTTTTGTGCAATTACATGTTTTGTTGTTGATGTCAAAACGAGTCTTGTGCGCATACACACTTCACTGCAGCTATAACGAATAACTTGTAACTAAGTAAGTGTTCTCACGCGCCCTTCTATTCATACTTCTACCTAAACGTGGCATATTTAGCATTGGTCAGACAATAATCCGGCCGTCTACTCGAGTCTGTTTAGCAAGGCATGATCTTAGAAAACTATGGTGCAGAATGTGTAGTAGATAGATTCGGTTTGTAAAGTGGGCAAGCTTGTATCACAGCCGCTAGTCTTAAATGCCTTTTCCGAATATCTGGGCTCCGAAGTATGAGAGCAGTGCGGAGCACAGTATACGATGAGTGGTGGATGCACACACTGAAGAAGCACCAAAATGCACACTACAGGTCCCCGTCAGTTCGAACAGTTTGAAATCCCACGGACTTCATTGACTACCCAAAAAACTAGACAACTGCATTCATCATTGCAACCATGTAAGTAAAAGAAAATAGAGATCATGCCCACGGTACGGATCCAGGCAAATAATCAGCACCGGACTCCTTGCTCCTGGGGTTTTTTTGACTGACAACTTCAAAAAGGGTGAAATGGGCTATAATTATTTGCGAAGACAAAATTGAAGGATTGTAGCAAAGTTATTGCTAGAGCCAATTATTAAGTCAACACTTGGGAGTAAAATTAGATCATGCTTGTCGCAGTTTTTAGGAAGTGAACTGCAATTTGATCCAGACAAGTTGCCGCTGCTTTATTTAACCTATATTGCATGCCATTGGACAGAAGGTCGCTGTCTGTTCCCGCAAAGGTCACTGGCTGGCCAATGGTGGTGAGAGCACCGGCCTGTGGCTCCTCAAAGTTAGTCGTCACGTTTGGTAAAGTGCCCACACCTTCAAAAACGATAAAAACGAAGTATTTCAAAAAGTCGTCTTGATTATTTTTGCACTTACACCGCACATATCAAGACAATTCTTTAGCCGCTGAAAGAGGATGGTTTGGTGAAAAAATGCAGTACTTGTAAAATTTTTTTGATGCATAATTGACTTTACATAAAAGAAGTTTCTCATTTTGGAGAAATTTAGCAAAAACCTCCTCGTATCAATTAGCTGCTTCTTAATTTGGACCAAATTGCCTCCAGGCAAGCGATAGGAACTACCAGAAACTACAGACAAAGTGTTCAGTGTCCAGATGCACTTATCC